TTATTAAAGATCTCTATTCCTTTTAAGTTAAAACGGCTTTCCCTTTTTTCAAATCTGTTTTGGATGTTTTTTGGCAATGTTTTCTGATTAGCTTTAAACATAATTTGCAGAATACTGTAATCAACTAATTCATGAAATTTCAACAACTTTAACTGAATGAATAGTGGGTTTGATGGATCTCTATACCAACTTCTACTGATGATTCTTATGGCTCTTTTTTGCAAAATGAAAATTGAATGGGTGAATGTTTTACAGGCACTTCCCCATACTTCAACACAGTATGTGAGATATGGAAGAATCAATGAGTTATATGAAATGAACAATGCTTTATCATCTAATGAATCCTTAACTTTGTGTACCAGAGCAAGTCCTTTTGATATTTTCATTTTTATATAATTTATATGTGACTTCCAGTTCAGATTTTCATCAATCATGACACCTAAGAACTTAATTTCCTTTACTCTTCGAATTTCCATACCTTCTACAATAACTGAAGCATCAATGCTTTCCCCTCTATTACTGAATATCATGAAATTAGTTTTTTCAAGATTCAGTGATAATTTATTTATAATAAACCATTCTTTTATTTTATTTTTTGACCACATCCAACATCTGTGATATGTTATTCCCAGAATAAAATAAGGTGTTATCATCTGCAAACAGAATACACTTGAGCAGTTTGGATACATTCACAAAATCATCGATGAACAAAATAAACAGTTTTAGTCCCAGGACTGACCCCTGAGGTACCCCAAAATGAATGTTGTACAGATCAGATTTTAAATTATTTATCTGAATGAACTGTTTCCTGTTTTAAGTAACTTGCTACCCACTGATGTGCCACCCCTCTGATACCGTATTTGCTAAGTTTTTTAAGAAGTGAGGAATGATCTATGGTGTCAAATGCTTTTTTGAGGTCAACAAAAATGCTTACTAAATACTTTTTCTTGTCTATTGCAATGGATATTTCTTCAGTTAATTCCATAAGTGCCATTGATGCTTGAGTGATTGGTCCTAAATCCATACTGACTGCTGCTTAAAATATTATGTTTGTCTATAAATGTGTCCAATCTGGCTGCAAATAATTTCTCTAATATTTTTAAAAACTGGGGAAGCAAGGATACTGGTCTGTAGTTGGAGAAAATATGTTTGTCTCCATTTTTGTAAAGTGGAATCACTTTGGCTGTTTTCATCTCATCAGGAAATACTCCTATTGAGAATGATAAATTACATATGTATGTTAATGGAATATCCATATCCTTCCCCTGTATCACTTACAGAGCTTATGTTGCATTATCAGTAATACCATGTATAACTCTCACATCATTCATTAAGTTTCTGGCATCAACTTTTTTATTTTTTTATTTAAGCAAAACAACCTTTCAACCTACAATATATTCATCACACAAATATCCATGATAATAAAACAACAACAAAAAAGAAGATATCTCTTTAGACAACAAATGAAAGCTTTACCTTCAACATGGCGATCACGTTTTACAAATCAGGACCCATAATCCTCAAACAATTCCATATGCACATAAAGAGCACAAAACACTTATAGGAGAAAGCCATGCAGCCCTCACAGATATGTCTGATGCACAATTCTTTCACTGCACTTTTTAGAGAAAAATGAGACGATGATAAGTAAGAAGAAAAGAAACAATAGGTGGTCCAAATGAAATGGCTCCTGAGACTGTCAGTGGCAATCAGACTGTGTAATCATTAAGCCATATGTATCTGACAGATGAACTGTTAGGGATTATGACCCTCATGTTGTGTCTGTAGGTGGCAACCCAGTTTAAGAGCAGCCTGCTGAAGCTGACAGAGATCCTCATGGCTAAAGAGGCCTGGTACATCCGCTGTCTGAAATCCAACGAGTCCAAGCAGCCAGGTGATTAAATAATAGAAGGCTGTTATATAACAACCGGATCGAGATATTTGAATTTGATCTTTGTATCTGTCACAATAACACAGGTCAATTTGATGAAGCATTGATCAGGCACCAGGTGAAGTATCTGGGCCTGATGGAGCACCTCAGAGTTAGACGAGCTGGTTTTGCATACAGGCGTAAATATGAGGTCTTTTTAAAGAGGTATGAAGGAAAACAGAGATGGGACCATGTGCTTGATTTTTTAAATTTAAAAAACCTCAGATTGAGTGCATGCTGAGTGGGTTATTTGCTGCGTCTTATAGATATAAACCCTTGTGTCCGGCCACATGGCCTCATTGGAACGGAGTGCCCGCTGATGGAGTGGAAGTTCTGGTTCAACATCTGGGCTACTTTCCAAATGAGTACAAAATGGGACGGTGAGGACATCACTTCGTAAATACATGAGAGCAAATGCACTTTAAGGCAGGAGGTAAAAAAAAACACAGTTGCTTTTTCTTCCTGTTGATTTAGTACAAAAATATTCATCCGTCATCCAAGGACACTTTACGCCACAGAGGATGCTTATGAGAAGTGTAAACATGAACTGGGTTAGTGCAAATCAAATCAGAATAATATTAAGTCATTCCAGCAGCTCAGTTATTAAATGCTTTGCTTTTTTTTTCAGCAACAAAGCTGCAGGCCAAATACAAAGGATACAGAGCAAAAGGAGAATTCAAAAAACAAAAAGAAGCTGGTAATTGTAGCAAAACATGATGCAGACATGATGGATTATTCTGTTTTGTGTGTGAGTAAAGGAGAGGTTTATGTTTTATGTCTTCAGCCACTAAGATTGAAACCTGTTGGAGAGGAGTTCAGGCAAGGAAGGAGAAAGAGAGGAGAGCCTGGGCTGTCAAAGTCATCAAGAAGTAAGAATATCATCACACTACTCCTCTCAATGTTACTGTGAGTGTCTGTGTATATTATTATATGTTTATATTATCATTCATACTTCATCCCTAGATTTATCAAAGGTTACATGACCAGAGGACAAGCAAAAACCACAGATAACTCAGAATATCTAGCCTTTGTGAGACAAAATTATATGAACAGACTTAAAGAAAATCTGCCAAAGACCGTTTTGGACAAAACAACCTGGAAAACTCCTCCAGCTGTGCTTGAAGAGGTACTTTTATTTTCCAATGTATTGAAAAAATTAAGTACCAGACAATATTCTATTTCAACACATCTTGTTCTTGTTAGACGTCAGAAATACTGCGTAAGCTTTACTACCGTCTTATGGTGCGGAAATATGTGAGAGGACTCACCCCACAGAGAAAAGCACAGGTAGACCACATGTTGCTAATTATAAAAGATTCGATCATTATGATTTAATTTTATAGGGATGAACTTTTTTATTTCTTTGCCCTTCAGCTGCAACTAAAGCTTGTAAGCAGCTCCATCTTCAAGGGCAAAAAGGAGAGTTATCCACAGAGTGTCGCTCAACCTTTTGTGGACACCAGAATCAGTATGTATCAGATACATTCACCAGTACTTTTATTTTGAAAACTCCTTGTTTACATCATCCAATACCTCCAGGTGAACAAGAAATAAACATGAGGGTTCTCCAGATGATTCGCAACGAGCAGATTAAGGTATTCATATATGAAAAACAACATTATATGACATTCTTCTCATCATTTAGCATCAAAAACAGCTTTCTGTGTTTGATCATGTGTTTGTGTAGTACAGTGTCCCGGTGATTAAATATGATAGGAACGGTTTCAAACCGAGGCCACGACAACTCATCCTCACAAAGACAGCTGCTTATGTGATAGAGGAGGCCAAGATCAAACAGAGAGTGCTGTACACCTCCCTCAAAGGTCAGGAGAATATGATAGAATACAGCTCACATGCAAGGTGTTTTCATATTGGAATAAAGTATCTCTATTCTTATCAATGCAGGTATTTCGGTCAGTAGCTTGACTGATGGCATCATTGTTTTCCACATAACATGTGAGGACCCTAAAGAAAAGGTTTGCTGAATCTACATGAACCATATTTTTCCTATTTGGATCCAAAATATGTCAAAGTGAAAGTGATCAGCTGAGGCAGATTATAACAGCACTTTTTTGTTGCTTCGTTTTTCTAGTTGAAACTAGGAAATTAAAATGCACTTTGTTTGCTGTTAAAGTTAACCTCACTGGATATCATTGAAAAGATCCCAACTTACCATAAAAAATGTGTAGTTTTTAATTAGTCCTGCAGTCTCTTGGTAGATTTATCTAAAAAGCCTTCAGAAATGAAATGTTTGGTTTTTTTTGCAGGGGGACCTTGTTATGCAGTGTGACCACTTGTTTGAGTTTCTGACCAAACTGACCGTCATTGCTAACAAACAGAACGCAATCAAAGTGGTTCAGGGCAGGTGAGTTTGTGTTCATAAATGAATTGAATAGGTTGGATATGATGTGCATCTTCTACATTTGTTCATGTTGTTTTTCAGCATCAAGATTGAAATCCAGGCAGGTAAAGAGAGTGCCGTGGACTTCAGTGCCGGACAGGAGCCCATGGTGTACAAGGCCAAGAATGGACATCTGATGGTGGTGAGGAGATGTAGTGATGATGAGGAGTTTTTAATGAATTATTCTGCTGAGTAAGGAACAGCATGACCCAAAGTGTTTGTTGCTGCAGGTTACAACTCGGGCAAGGACACGGTAACATATGTGGGGGTGAGAAGACACACAAGAAGCCCCTGAATATTTCATCAGGAAACCCCTGCAGGGAGATCAAAATGTCTACAGGAAACACACATTTAAAGAAACAGCACCACTCAGAAACTTAAAGGTTTTTTTTTGTTCCATACATATGAATGTTAAACCCACATTTTAACACGATTCTATGCAAAAAAACAAACAAAAAAAAGTTTCTGTTTTTAACATCAATGCTGAAAGCAAAGGCTGAACCTAAGACAGCAAACCAAACGGTTCAATCTACAATCTGAAGTTTTACACTCGACATTAGTCATTATCAGCTAAATGTGTCTCTCTAAATTTGCATTGAAGCCATATGTATCATATTTTTGTATGTTCACTGATGATGGGAATGTGCATATTAAAGACAGACCAAAAAAGTGTTTCTAGAAATTTATTTGTGATAAAGTACGTATAAATATAAAAGATACATATATGTTCACTTCTGTACAACAGATCTACAAGTACTGTGATTGTTCAACATATTTTACCTCAAACCCATTGTGTGCAAACGGTTCATTCTGTGATGAATGCAGCGATGAAGGACAGCTCTAATTTCTCTCCCTGTTAGATGCTTGTAGACAGGACTCCCTTCCTGCCAGGGAGAGCTCTGGTTACAGTCATTCACTTCAACCTCAGCACCCATCAATCAATCAGCCCAAATACATTTAACGCCTCTGGTCACAGCTCAGGTTTCATTCACTGAAATAATGAACATTTAGTGAAGTGAAGAGAAAATTCATACATGTTAAAAGTAAATAAGAAAGAAGCATTACAGTGAAATGTTGCATCCATCTGTGATTACTGTATCAAAATCTTTTAATTTCTATTTTTTTGCTATAATCCGCAGGGTACCAAACAGACCTTGGTAACATCGTCTAAGAGTTCAACAGTGCCCCCATGTGGCCTTACTGTGTACAACACCTAGTTTATGGCCTGATGACCTCACAGTAGACCCGTCAGAGCCATGGTTAAGGAGAAGCAAAAATTATATAAAACTTTAGCTGCTTACATAATATAAATCCTGATGTCCTGGGTGTGATGGTGTTAGGACCTCAAATAAAAAGATTTATTCTGATAATACTCTAGTTTTTTTTCATCACACACAAGTAACTGTAACCTGCATTAATGAATGCTGACACTCATGTCAATGGAAATCTGGCAGAGAACATTGATAGAAGTTATCATGACTATCAAACAAATAAACAAGGGACAAGACCACACAACAAATATGTCGCTATGACAACACACATAAAATCACTCCACCACTACACACTGTTGTAGACACTCATCTCACAGTAATCTCCTGGAGAAAAAGCTGGTAAAAATAAGAGAGGAAGTGAGACAGAGAGGCGCTGGGTGATGTAAGGCACAGACGTGGTGCAAAGACTGTCCGTGTTTAGACACACAGGATGACGGGTCAAGAGTGAAAGGTCACTGGTGGTGGTGTGTGCGGTCATCGGGTCGTTTGATATGAATCCTACGAACTCGCTCGATTCGCTCTCGCTCATCATCCTCGTCCAGGTGATGGGATCGTCCTGCTGCGCCCCCTGTGGCCTCCAGCAGGGCGTTGTCAGGCCCCCTCCCATCATGCGACTCATACAGCAGGATGTTGAGGGTCTCCTCATAGATTCGAGCCTCAGGGAACTCAACCTACCAGAGAAGAGTTACATTAGAGATATTTAGGTGACCTATTGTTGCTCGAGTATTACGAAAGAAGAAAAATTAAATCTTCAGAGGCAGTTAATTACAATACATTCTTACCTTTGTCTGTTTCTTCTCTGTGGCATAAACAATGGAGGTGCAGCACACTTCAGCAATCTTACGCCCCTGGCCATAAAATGACCAACAACAGATCTCATCCCCAATAACATCCTTAATGAAGAGTACGCGACCATTGAACCGCAATGAAAGCTTGTCAAACAGCTCGATATTTTTCAGCATGTTGTCATCAGAGTTACTGGGAAACACAAAAACAAAAATTTTAACGGGTAGTAATATTGATTTATAAATAATCAGACATAGCTAGAAAACCAATCCTTTTAGACTCACCTAGTATATGAATATTTGTTGTTGCTCCTGTTATACAGCAGTTTGACAGTAGGCTGTGAGGGAGAAAAAAATATTGTATTTTGAAAAATGTTGACAATTAACCAAGTGTCTTAATAGGAAATAAGAAATGCTGCAGAAGATGGAAAAGAAAAGACAGCACAACTGACCTTATTAGAGGTTGCAATGAGCTTTTGCTCCTCCTTGGAGGACGTCATCAGAGGCACTTTACACAGGGGTTCATAAGATTCTTTGTTCTGGAGGGAAAAAGACAATGTTTACATTAAAGGAGCTCAACCTGAGAAAGGAAGTATGTAATGACTGTGTGAACAGAGGGGAAGAGATGTGGACAGGGCTTGATTATTAACACCCATTAACCTGCCAAAAGCAGGTGGATTTCAGAAGTGGCTTTTCACTCCCATGTGCCACTTGGGATGATTGAATTTTATATATATGTCTTAATTGAAGTCTTCTTAAAAAAAAGAAAAAAAAAGGCATCTGCAGACCTGCCCTGCTCTCAATTTAAGCACGAGTCTCCCTACTTACAACCCTCTCTGCTGCTGTATTCCTGATTCTCATTCTCTCTCTCTCTCTCTCTCTCTCTCACTCTCTCTCTCACTCTCTCTCTCTCTCACTCTCTCACTCTCTCACACTCTCTCACTCTCACTCTCACTCTCACTCTCACTCTCTCTCAAAGTATTAACATTAAAAAAAATGGATGGCCTTCCATGGTAATGTTACCTGCAAGGCAGCAGTGCATTCATCAGCAAGGCCTTGGACAAGGTAATACTTGGCCTCAGCGAGCAGCTCCTCAGTTTCCCGCCTGCTATCAGGGAGCGGCACGGCTCCATCTCTAAGGTAGTTGAGGATTGTTCCAAAATGTTTTCCACAGCGATCAATCAAAATCCAACCTGTTCATTTGAAATGGTGAACATTATTAGAAGTGCATCTCTGCCAATGCATAAATCCCTCATACTATTTAATGTTTTCGTAGAAAAGCTCACCTTCACTGTCTGTAAGGACCTCCATCCTGCCACTGAACATGGCTTTGAGCATTGTGTCCTGTTTGGTTAGTGTTTGCATTGTAGTGTAGTACAGTGCTCCACCAACGTTTAACTTCACATATTTAGAGCTGGGGCTGGAGCCCTTGAAGGATGTAGTCCTGGTTGTAGCTGCTGGCACTGCCGAGCTCACCACACTCTCTCCTGACATCTCTTCCTGGGACAACACAAGATGAAACAAAAAGTGACACCAGGATCAGGACTGGTATAACACTGGATTACTCAGTTTAAACACACCTAGTTTAGAGTGGGAAAAGTTGAACTGTAAACAAACAAGGCCACAATAAAGATGATTGCCTTTTTTTTTTTTTTTTTTTAATTTATTATTATTTTTTTTTAGTTGTACTCAGCCCTAACCCCCTTGCAACAACCTGTTTATAATACAAGGTCTGTAAATCAGACAAAATATAGCAGGATGTTGCTATGCTGACATCTCTCCACTGATGGACTAATTGAGGGCGGCAGTAGCTCAGTCTGTAGGGACTTGGGTTGGGAACCGGTTCTAGTCCCGGTGCGGACCAAATATGGAAGTTGGTCTGGTAGCTGGAGAGGTGCCAGATCGCTTCCTGAGCACTGCCGAGGTGCCCTTGAGCAAGGCACCAAACCCCCTCCCCACCACCAGCTCAGGAGCGCCCGCTGTGGGCCGCTCTGTCACTCTGACATCTCTCCATCAGTGCATGTCCATAGGATCCTATTTCTGCATGTGTGTGTGTATATTTCATGTGTGTTTCATGACTTACAGAGTGTAAAAACAGAATTTCCCCTTACGGGGATCAATAAAGTCAAATCTTAATCTTAAATCTAATGCATGTCCACAGGTCCTGTTTGTGCATGTGTCTCTGTGGTGAACTGTTGGTATTGTTAAGGGATTTGTAGAAAGTAAAAAAAAATGTGAAGAATTATCACCATCATTATCCTTCAACTGAAGATTGGCATACATTAGAAGCACCATTAATTTACCACCTCAATAAGTTATCGACCTGTAAAACATGTCCATATTCTGTATATATCTGTAATCTAGTACAGCATGCTCACTGCACCTTAATCTGTATATTATAATCTGAAGAATATACTTATATTTATAGCATTTATTTATATTGATAGCATCCCATTAATCCAGCCATATATACACAACAATTCACTTTTTTTTTAGTCTACATCTGTAAATTTTGAAATTACTGTACATGGCACAGACTCTTTATTATTATTATTATTATTTGCACTTCTGGTGAGATGCCAAACCTCATTTGGTTTCTCTGTACTTGTATATGTGTAATGACAATAAAGCTGAATCTCATCTCATTTTCTTCACAACATTAACAAGTCTGGTCCAGTTCTAGGACTGTCTACAGTTGTCTCATCGCAGTTATAGGCTGTACAACACAAAGATGTTTAAATTATTACACAGTAGTACAAACCGCTTACACACAAAGTCTTTTTTCTTCATGAGTAAATATGTCTAAATATCGTTCTCCTCTGTCATGAAACATGTTGCAGACTTTATTAATAAACTGTAATCTCTTGTCAGCAAACCTTTAATAACGTGTTAGCCACCGTTCGTTACTTTCCTCCTCTCTGTGGATTGTAAAACACTGAATCGTAACTTTTAAAATCCAGTAAATAGTCATTTTTCAGATTAGCACGGCTAACGAACCAGCTACCTAGTTAGCATCAACCAAAGTAATGGTTATTATAGCATATCTAGCAAAATACAAACACAATATGTTACTAACAATACAAATAAATACTTTCACTCTTCCATTGTAGCATGCTTTTTCACTGGCCTTTAATAAAACGTAAACATATTTACCATAGAACCCGCAGCAGACTTGTGAATTGCGGCTAGCTAACGCCAATCAGCTAACACCCACTTCCTTCCGGTCGAACGTTGCGCATTTATAAAATTACGTCATCGTTCCAGAACTCTACTTAAAGGGACAGTGGATATTATTTTATTTGATATTACGGGATGTTTACGTTGCAAATAATGAGACAAAAGTAACAGCACTATATTTACCGTCACACATCTCCAAGACTTGAAACGTTTTAGTTTATCAAATAAAAGAATAGCTTTAATTGCCTTAGGTTTAGCCTGCGCATTTCCGCTATTGAAGGAGTAACAGTGAAAACGGTCCCCCACCACCCACCCAGTACACTGGGCGAAGGGTTTATCCACCATCACAAATAAAGTTGCTGTCGCTTCTACGCGAACGAAGATAGTTGGGCATAGCACACCCTTTCTATTGTTGCATATTTTAATAGGGAATTACACATTTGGACAAACTACCCGGAAACATTTAATGCGACACTGGGGATTAATGGCTGCAGTCAATGCACGGATCCCTTCTCATTGTTTACATTTCGAAACGGTATGTTCCCTGTGTTTTTGAAGCTGTCATTGAAAACATCCCAGACACAAGTCTGTAATGATCACAAATTGCGCTTACTTAACGTGAAAAGCATCTCCTTGAGACAGTTTAACACCGATTGTCGAAGGACCAGGACTAGCCCTGTGTGCTAACTATACCAGCTCCATCTTCACTGCCCGCTGCCCCAGACATGGCAAGTTAGTCCTTTTCCTACGTTTGACTTTCCTCCTGCTTGGACCTGAAGGACAGCCAAATGACTTGGGAGGTATAGCGCTAGGTGAGCCTACAGGCCAGAGAGAAGCTGTATTTGAGTGATATCGCAGGTAAGTTCACCACTATGTTACATCAAAACAATGTGATGTTGTTTGGATGCAGTAGGCTTTAATCGTAGTTTACAATGTTTAGAAAGCAGAGAAAACTACCCTACGCCAACATTAAAATTGTATCATTACAAACGTGCGGATGATCACTGTATATTTTTGCATCATGGCAGTCAAATGGTAGAAATCTTCTTTTCCAGGGTGCATCATGTTCAGTGTAACCCAAAGCTCCAAGTCCGAGTTCCTGGACAAAGCCAGGCAGGCCAGGGAGGAAAGGAAAGGACAAAAAGATAAGGAGAGAGCAGCAATCAACATCCAAGCCCTGGTCAGAAGATTTCTCTGTCGCTGCAGACTACAGAAGCAATTAAGGTACTTCACATATTTAAAACTCTCAATTGATTTGTAGATTATAAAAACAGTGAGTTAAAGAATACACATTTGCTTGAAATAGAACTGTATTAACTCACTTACATGCCAACGTAATCAATGGTTGCATCTCTTTTTCTGTGTTTGACCAGGAATGATGTTGATGAATTTTTTCAAGCGTCTGAAGCTGGGACAACTAAAAGAAATGCACTCTCAATATTCAAAATAGCTCGGAAATTACTATTCATATATCGTCCAGAAGATAAGATGGTGAGTTGCCAGCTATGCTGTTAAGACTGTTGTCGTAGAAGAATGTAAGTAGAGGTAGTTCACTTCAAAAAACATCTCCTCGCTGTCAACGCTTACTTTTTGGAGATGTTGTAAATGTAACATAGTGGTTTTTTAACTTGTCATTGGCTGGGTCACTCAAATGACTCTAATTTTGTTCGTCACACAGAGGTTTGAAAAGCTCTGCCGTGCAATCCTTGCCAGCATGGAGGCTGAAAATGAACCTAAAGTGAGTGAGCACAAGTTTAAACCCTCCATATGTAAATGTTTTTGTTAAAGTTAGCTTTGTCTCAGTGGCTGTTCTCAAATTTGTCCCTCAGGTCTGGTATGTTTCCTTGGCTCTCTCCAAAGACCTCACCATTCCCTGGCTCAAACAGATTAAAGATGTGCTTTGGACTTGCTGTCAAAGAATTAAAAGTCTGAAGGTTAGTCTCGATTGGATTCTTTTAACTTTATTTAAACGTTATTTTACAACTTTGTACATATGCCTGTCTTTTTTGTGATTTGCAGCCTGACATACTTCAGGACAATAAACTGGTAACGCTGTACCTCACCATGCTGGTGACCTTCACTGACACCTCAACCTGGCGGATAGTCAGAGGAAAGGGTGAGTCTCAAAGAGGCTGAAGTTTTGTTTTATAAACACAACTGCTGTTATTACAGGACACGCTCCCTGCAAAGTATAACATCACATTTTCTCCTCATTTTTTCAGGAGAAGCTCTTAGACCTGCTTTGACCAGGATTTGTGAAAATATTATGGGTCATCTCAATCAAAAGGGATTCTATTCAGCACTGCAGGTTCAGTATAACAGCTTGCTTTGCTTTTCAGTTTTATCACACAATTTAATTAATTAGTGAAACAACTCTTTTCTTTATGTCATATGATGAAAATCTGATTTGATATACTTTTCATGTTTAGATTTTGCTGACCAATGGATTGGCTCGTTCTAAACCGTCGCTCTCCAAAGGAACTCTTACAGCTATATTTACCTTGTCATTAAGGTGAGTTCGAGCCCGTAGATTTATGATCATTAAAAAAAAAAGTTTCATACTTGAAGAAGAGTCTTTGTATTTACTTTGTTGTATTTTAAGATTGTCTTTTTAACCAAAGTCTCGTTTTTTTTTCAGGCCGGTCCTTGCTGCTCACTTTTCCGATAACCTGCTAAGATCATTCCTCATTCACATCATGTCAGTTCCAGCTGTCATAACCCACCTCAACATGCTCACACCAGAGGTAAAAACCCCTGTTACAGATCATGTCTTCCTTGCATGGCGGTTCTGTATTATTCAACGTGTATTTAAACTTCTGCCTTGTCGCGACAGTGTATGGCGTCCATTCAGACACATGACCTGCTGCGGAAGTTCATTCTGTTTCTCAGCCGGGAAGAACAGTGTTTGGACATCTGTGTGTGTCTCGAGGGGAGTCACACACTTTGCCTGCTTGGTAAGGGATTTTTCAATATGCGTTCTTATGTCGATGTATATTGTGTATCACTGTGTGTCCTGTATATTGTTCATTTCACAAATGAGCTTCTCTGATGTCTGACAGGCAACTTAATTCACCTGGGCTTCCTTAATGAGAAAGTTCTGGAAGAGGAGGCCAACTATTTTGTGAAGGACCTGACTGACATGTTGTCTTACTGCCAGAGATATGTGTCCCAGAAGAAGTCAAACCTCACCCACTGGCACCCTGTCCTGGGCTGGTTCTCCCAAACTGTAGACTACGGGTCAGTGATTACATTTATATTTGCTTGAATCAAATCAGAAGAAAAAAATAATGATAAAGAATTGCTCTGGAGGACAAAAATAAAAATGTGGTTTGTGGCCCTTTTGAAGTGCAGTAATATGATTTTTTTTTATAGAGTAAAAAACTGTCACATGTTATGTTGCTTTAGCAGTCACTTTTACTTTAGCATGTTAAAATAGCATCATGTCAGATATGTATACTGAACTTTGGTCTCCTCCTCTGCCTCTCGTTCCTAGTCTGAATGAATCAATGCCGCTGGTCACCAAACAGCTTCAGTACCTGTGGGGCGTTTCTGTCATTCGGACACTTTTCAGTGACGTCCTCTCAAAAAAGCTGGAGAGTCAGGAGCCCACTCCCCCGCCCCCGCAACCTAGCACATCACAAAACAATCTACCAGTCAAAAGTGAGTAATGAACCCTAACCTACTGTAATGTTCAAAATAAGTTCTATATGTTGCGTTCTCTACATCATGGTGTGTTGTTTCTCTGTGTCCTCACAGACCTCTTTAAGCGAGCATTTCAGAAGTCGGCTTCTGTACGGAACATTCTGAAACCAGTCGGAGGGAAGCGAGTCGACTCTGCTGAAGTTCAGAAGGTTTGCAGCATCTGTGTGCTCTATCAGACGGCTCTATCCACACTCACGCAAATACGACTCCAGATTCTCACAGGTCAGTATGAGAGTCTTATTTTTTCATGTGCTGCAAACATACAGTGTTTTGTAAACACTCACGAGTCCATCATTGAATTCGGTGCTGAACATTCTGTTTTTTTCTGCAGGTCTGACTCACCTTGATGAACTTCTACCCAAACTTTGGGCCTTCATCTGTGAGCTGGGTCCTCAGGGGGGGCTCAAACTCTTCATGGAGTGTCTAAACAACGACACTGAAGAGTCCAAACAGCTCCTGGCCATGCTCATGCTTTTCTGTGACTGCTCACGGCACCTCATCACGTAAATTCCCTCAACCTGACTCTTATGTGCACTAGATTCCCAGTACAGGGGCTGACATTTAATAACTCACCTTTAATGTGTCGCAGGATTCTGGATGACATTGAAGTCTACGAGGAACAGACATCTTTCAAGATAGAAGAACTCCACACCATCTCCTCATTTCTGAACACATTTGTCTACAAGATGGTCTGGGATGGCATCTTAGGTGAGTGAATGACCCTTACTCATTCTTGAACTTATGATATCGATTCATTAAAAAGGAACACTTTTAATGGAAAATCTGTTTAATATCTTGTGTTTTAAAAAAGAAAATGCAAAGGGAGAGAAGCTGGAGTTGTTCCACAGTGTTCATGGCTGGTTGATGGTGCTTTATGAGCGGGACTGCAGGCGACGATTCACCCCTGATGAGCACTGGCTGCGAAAGTAATCACAAACACGAAACAGCTCTTCATATTTTCCATTTTTGAAAAGCTGTTCATAACAACAAGCTATTATTCACGGAACAGTCGCTTGTTCTGTTCTGTGAAAACATTCAAAAGCTCAACTCTACATCTTTGTGGTGTTGCATTCAGGGACCTAAAGCCCAGCCTGTTGTTCCAAGAGCTGGAGAAAGGCAAGAGGAGAGCCCAGCTGTTACTGCAGTACATCCCCCATGTTATTCCACACAAAAATGTGAGTAACCACAATCCTTTCAGTGAACACTTGAGTGTAATTTGCATTTTCAACTCTATGATTACTCTCCTCTCTCATTTTAGAGGGTGCTGCTGTTTCGGAACATTGTCACAAAGGAAAAAGAAAGTTTAGGATTGGTCGAAACGAGCTCTGCTTCACCACATGTCACACATATTACCATTAGACGCTCCCGGATGTTAGAGGTAAGGACAACAGATCAGCTAGAGTCTTGAATTAAAGTATGACATAACAATTGTTTCCTAATACTCTTTATTTTCCCTCCTCTGTCAGGATGGATATGACCAGCTCCGTCGATTACCAGCCAACTCTATAAAAGGTGTGATTCGGGTGAAGTTTGTCAATGATCTTGGAGTAGACGAGGCCGGTATCGATCAGGATGGCGTGTTCAAAGAGTTTTTGGAGGAAATCATTAAAAAAGTGTTCAATCCTGCTCTCAACCTGTTCAAGGTAATATGAGGAAAATAAAAATCATTATTGAAAGGCGTCACACTTCCGCTGCTGACATCGAGTTTACTGTTTTGTGTGATATTTGTTTCTGTAGACGACAAGTGGAAATGAGAGGCTGTATCCTTCACCTACATCATATATCCATGAGAACCATTTGCAGCTGTTTGAGTTTGTGGGGAAGATGCTCGGGAAAGCTGTATACGAGGTATACTTGGGATTGTACTTTTTTTTTTTTGCCCTCTCTTTGAGCAGAGTGTTTCAGGTGATCTTGAGTGAATGTGTTATTCCTCTATATTCAGGGCATTGTGGTCGACGTCCCTTTCGCCTCCTTCTTTCTCAGTCAAGTCTTGGGTCACCATCACAGCACTTTCTACAGCTCCATCGACGAGCTGCCCTCACTGGACTCTGAGTTTTATAAGAACCTCACTTCCATCAAGGTCAGGGAGAAAAACCAATCGGGCATTTTTTCATTCATCTGTCGTAGGTTCAGCTCTAGCTCACGTCTTTGATTTCGTTTGTTCTTTCAGCGCTATGACGGAGATGTAGGGGATCTGGGACTGTCGTTATCCTATGATGAGGACGTTATGGGGCAGGTAAGAATGAAGAAAAGATAGTCCTTTGCCTCAACAGTTGTACTTTAATTAAAAGATTAAGTTGAACTGTGGTAATGTCCCTATATATTCCCCAACCTAATTCTTCATCACATATGTATTTTATTTTCTGTTATTAATCGTGCATTTTGTCTTTTCAAGAAAAGATAGTTAGAATAGTTCAATGTATGTATGTTCTTATGTAAACAGCGTTTTTGTATCTTGCCTTACAGCTTGTCTGTCACGAGTTGATACCTGGAGGGAAAACTATGCCAGTCACCAACGAAAACAAGTATGTTAATCCATATCCGATTACGAAAAAGAAAAAAAAAAAGGGTACTAACCAAGTTTAAGTCTGACCTGTTCTCCTTTTTCTGATTGTCGTACGGTAAATAAATTCACTGTCTGACTCCATCTTCTCCCGCAGGATCAGTTACATCCACCTCATGGCTCACTTCCGGATGCACACGCAGATTAAGGAGCAAACGGCGGCTTTCATTCGGGGCTTCCGCAGCATCATAAACCCAGAGTGGCTGCACATGTTTTCCACACCTGAGGTTCAGCGTCTCGTCTCGGGAGACAATGCTGAGATAGATCTGGATGACCTCAAGTATGTTTTTAGTCATCTTAACTGTCACTATACCAATCATACTCATCAAAGTTTTTATTAGCATGTGTCCAAAAATAGCAGGATAAGTATTTTCATCGTATCCCATCTTGTCTTCGTCCTTTCTTTAAAATCAGAAAACACACGGTGTATTATGGAGGATTTCACAGCAGCCATCGTGTCATCATCTGGCTGTGGGACATTCTGTCCAGTGACTTTACCGCAGAAGAGAGAGCTATGTTCCTTAAAGTAAGAAGTTGTTAGTTTGTGGTTGTCATAGCAATTTTTCTTTTCAATTTAAATTGCAATGTGGTTAAGTATTTTCTCATTTAATATCTTATTTGCTTTACAGTTTGTTACCAGCTGCTCGAGGCCACCTCTTTTAGGTTTTGCCTACCTCAAACCACCTTTCTCCATCCGATGTGTGGAAGTTTCAGATGATCAGGTGAGGATCAAAAGAGAAGAGCACCAAAGATGTTTTTTTTTTTTCCTTCTTAAAGTTGTTGCTTAAGTACTAACAAAGCACTTTCTGTGTCTAGGACACTGGAGACACACTTGGCAGTGTCCTCAGGGGCTTCTTCACAATCCGCAAGAAGGAGCCCGGTGGTCGACTCCCCACTTCATCAACGTGCTTCAACCTGCTCAAGCTGCCCAACTACAGCAAGAAGAGCATCTTACGGGACAAGCTGCGCTACGCCATCAGTATGAACACAGGATTTGAGCTATCATAACTCTGTTGCATCAGGACAATCTTCACGGCAGGAGGACTGTCTGCAGCAGTCGGAGCCTCGCAAAATGCTCGTCTTACAGTGACTAGAGCCTGTCGGTCAAAGGGGGCTTCACCGGAACAAAAAGGGGAACCATGAAGGATCTTAAACCCCTCTAAACTGGATGAGCTCCACTCCCTGACACCAAAGGGGATGCTGTTTTTGCAGCACAATCCAATTTTTAACATCTCCCTTTGCCACTCCCAAAACTCAATATGTTGTGTGTAACTCGATGAAATACAGACACACAGTGGCTAGATCTCTGTTTCTCAGGCTTAACAGAATCGCTCTCGGATCTATCACTCCCACTTTAAGCGAACTGGAAAGCAATACAGATGCAATGCAAGCCATTAGACACGTGGTCAACTCACTCAAGTGAAACCAAGCGATGCTTTGATAATATACTTACAAGCTTGGACTCCATTATCCAGGCAAATTTCAGCTGATATTGGATGAGTCTTAAAATGTTTTGCTGAACATAATGCATCTTTTATAAATGGAAGACAAATCAATGTCTTGTGTTCAACCCCCATGAAGGAGGAGTGAGTCATAACACTGATTCTGTGTTGATTACATTACGTCCCATTTAGGAGGAAAAATCAACCTGACCTCACTCCATTTGTCCCCATTAAAGACACTGCAGCCACCTGAGAGAGACACGGGCCCACCAGTTTTATGTTCTCAGTACATTAAAAACAAATCTTAACATCTGACGCATTCGGGTGAGCAGCAGAATCTCTAGACACGAACAAAAAAAAAAAATCTGATCCTGCTGGTTTAAAAAAAAAAAAGAGATGTCCTTGCTGTAGTGTTTAACTAAACCGGACGTGTTTTGTCAGTATTTATATCTGCCAAGTATAGCAGACACGACTCTCCATTCATCTGTGTGTCACCTCCACTCCAAAAAATGAAGAGTAAAGTGAATCATCAATGTTAGTCTTTGTATGTAATAATAGTAAAACTAATGATTTCTCACTACACCTTTGAATAACGCTGAGTGCCTCATATAATGCCCCATCCTCCTCCTCGCTCTTTCATGTCTGACTCTATTTCAACTCTAACCAATAATCACATATTGGAAACAAGCCATATAAATGGGGTTTACTTACCTGGACTTATTCTGCTCCTACTAACATAAATAGTCTGGAAATTCAACCAACACTACAAATACAACAAACCAAGGAGGGTTCGACTACGATGCTCTCTGATCTCTGTGGACTTTTGAAGCCATGCGGAAAAATGAATCTGAGGTTTAGAAAAAAAAAAACCTCACAACATGATGTCATGGACTGGTTCATCAACCAAATGTGACTGTCTTCTTGATGTGATTGAAATGTTGCACACCTGTCTGCAGTTTGGAAAAGGGGACATGCGGGAAAATGTTACCTTAAAGGCCTAAACACTTCTTTACACAGGGTTCAGTTCCATATTGAAAATACAAAGAGACTTTACATTCATTCAGTAGAAAGAGGATTGCAGCTTTTAAAGAACGGGTTAAAAGAATTAGCCAATCTTTACCACATTCTTTATGCAAAAAAACAAACACTTTTCAGTCGTCAAAGGTCAAATGTATCTTTATTGTCCCCACAGATGATGAATGAGTATTGATACATTTATTAAGTAACTCAATCCCTTGACCATACAGTTCCTTATCGTAATGTTTATTGAAAATAATATAATAGCCACTAACTTGTGTAAAAACAACAGAAAATTAATTAAAAGGCAACCAGCACACATACATGTATAAATAACTTTGGTTGTCTTGAATTTACCTTCAGTATACTAATGAGATTAAACACATTTTTAATCTGATAAATCAAGTCAGGAGGATCTTGCTTTGGCTGGATTTGCACGACACACGACAGTAAAGTGTGTTTTAGTGCGAGAGGGATGAAAGATACCTCACAAGCTTGTATGTTTTGTCTGATGAGGGCACTCATCTGTTTAAAAATGATGTCATGAGTAGGCTTTAGAGGCTTTAAATGTACCAGTGGACTGCTAATGATGCTGATTTTGGATTTCCACTCTTTTAGTACAATAAATCATTTAAAAATGCTCCTGGAAATCTCCTTACCCTTCCTGTGAAAGTTGTCATCTCTTTATACAGTTTCTTTGAAATGTGTGAGATACCCTTAGGCTATGTTTGGCACTATAATGTTACATCATGTAGACCTACACTAGTATAAAATCATTTACTTTAATTCTTTATATTATTTATTTCTCTTTTTTTTTACAACAAACTTAGTAAGTTTTCATTTACAAAGCAAATAGATAACCGTGATTCAATGCTTTGGTTCCAATTTCACCTGCTGATAAGGCCTACGTCGCCACAGAGCATATTGCATGATGGGAGTGTAGTATGTAGCTCTCTGTTACAGGCTAATAATAATAATGGAATGGAAAATGTCTTGTAAAACCCGCACATTCTGTCTTTTGTATATAATGGAAAGTCAATGGCATGACTTTGCATGTTTGACCCAGAGTTGGTTAAACCTGGTGGGCGGGCTATTCTGTTGTTACACATTAACCTCCACAAGAACCATGAACATGGCGCAGAGCCCCTCTCCCGCCTTGTGCTACAAAATCGCTACGAAGTTAAATACACCCAATTTACGTTTCCAGAAGGCTGTTAACCTACAGCACCCTATACTATCATACCCTACAAACCACACCGATAAGACCTTCACAATACCAAATGCGTTGGTTGTCTTGACCCTTTGAAAGTATAGGTGACATTCTTCCAGAAATCCTTACTCTTCTTCTAATAGGATATAATGTTAGAAAAGGTTAAAATGGTATAAAATACAGTTACCTTCATTCTGTTGACTACATTTTTTTTTTAATGCAACAGAATAAAATTATATTGCAAAAAGTGCAAGAAAATGTACCTTCATATGCATTATTTGTATAACTGAGTTAGTCAATCGAACACTGTAAATCTCCTGTTCTCCCCATGATGCCTTTAGAGTGACTGGGTTGATAAATATATAATTGAGAGCTTTTCTTGGTTTTATTAGGAGTTCATGTGCGGAACCTGATTGGCTGATGTGTTTGGATTTTCACTATTCTCCCTGCCCTGCCGTGGGCTTTTACTTAACCAGGCTTTACAGTAGGCTACAAACACTGTTAAGAAAGGCAAGCAGTGGAGAATACTTGACTGGAATAAACATGAGCATAAGGGCGTGCTATGGTTGTCAGAGAAACGGACGGTTAACATGCAGGAGGTATCACAATGATGATGATCTAGAGTTTGGATTCAGGATGTGTTTTTTTTTATTTCATTGCCCTGTGATGTTAAAAACTTGTGATGCTGCTGCTGTTTCAGGAGCAGGCTGGGGGAGCCGTGTTTTAAGACGTACCCTCTGGTGTGTGTGGATCTGCTGAAGAGATCCCGAGTTGCCTTTCAAGCTGGACGCACCCTAAAGGAGAGCTTCAGAGTGGCCCAGCTGGAGGCTTTGGTGCGGATGCTGCAAGATAATGAGGGTGATTTTGTGGATGCTCTTGGAAAGGACCTTCATAAGGTCAGAATGGGAGGCAGCACCTACAATGTTTGTGTTTGATTAAAAATATACATGTGGCTTTAACAGTGCTATTGTATTGGCATTTATGAATAATTTTCTTAATTCTTTTTTTATCAGCCTCGATTTGAGACAATTTTATCAGAACTGATTCCAGTCAAAAACGAGGCACTTCATGCTATTAACAACCTTAAGAAGTGGATGCAACCGCAGCATGTGGAGAGAAACTTGGTGAGACTTTTTATTAAACTTTACCTTTTTTTGCACTAAAACATATTACAAATATTGAGATAATTTATGATTTAAATAACAGACTTGAGAACATATTCCGTCATGCTAGCACAAAGGCATGTATTGTTCCAGCCCTGCCAAAGCAGATTAAACTAAGTTGCCTTGACCTCTTTTTAATAATTCCTGAATCCCACTTTCACTCTGTTTAATGTAGCCTAATTTTGAGCTGGTCTGTCTGAAATAGTGCACCACGTTGGATGAGTGTCTGGTGGTCAGTGAGCCGCTGGGGGTGGTTTTTATCAAGGGGGCCTGGTGTAACCCTGTCCAAATGTGTCTGGTGCCACTGGTAGGAGCCATAGCAGCAGGTAATGAGACTCAAGACACTAGTTTAAGAAGTCAAATACTCGTGCTTTTTCATTTCACCAAAGGTTACTGATGATATGTAATGAATCTGTTTAGGAAACTGTGCAATCATCAGCCCCTCTATGTGCACTGCTCACACAGCAGAGTGTCTTCATCGACTCGCCCCTTTCTACCTGGACAATGTGAGTCATTACATAACAGGGATGATGAGTTCAGTCATTTGAACAAATAAAGTTGCAGAAGACTCATTATTTGTCCAAGATTCACTAAGACTGTTTTTTTCTGTGCAATAACTGCTTTATTTTTTTTTCATTGCACAAATTTTAGCACCATGATTTATGTATGAGGTTTGTTAAATGACCGAGTTTGGTCTGTGTGCTTTCAAGAAGAGCACACAACCAGACTCAAATCATCACTTTCAAGGTCAGATGAGACTATGTAATGTTGTATCTCTTGAGTATGTAAAAAATACCCCACATTTTTTTAATCCATGGCCAGCTCAAAACCTGAATCTCATTCTGTGAATTTGAGGTTGTAATCTATATTAATTGATAGTTCAGACCTTTAATGGTGATTGTTCTTTTCCTCAAGGAATGCTTCCATGTGATACTTGAAGGCACTAATGACTTACCTGAAGTTATGGAACTGAAATTTGACCATGTCTTCTTTACAGGTACAGATAAAACTCAGCTCTAAATACATTTTGACAGAACATTCAATATTTTGAAGTGGTTTCTGATTTCTGTTATTGCCTAGGAAATAGGGCGGAAGGAACCAAAATTGCTCAAGCTGCAGCTCGCTCACTAACGCCTTTCACCCTGGTTTTGTCTGGAAAGAACCCATGTTATGTAGACCAACACTGTGAGATTAAAACAGCCGCTCAGCGCATCGCATGGGCGCGTTTTCACAACGCTGGACAGAGCATGGTGGCTCCGGATTACATCCTGTGCCACAAGGTTGTAAAAGCACAACTGGTTCAAGCCTTGAAGGGCTGCCTGCTGCATTTTTATGGTTCTGATCCGAGAGAGTCCCGTAGTTATGGCAGGATGGTCAGTTCAGAGGTCTTCAACCGTACCAGAGACCTGATGTGGAGATCTGGCAAAGTGGCTGTGGGAGGGCAAGTGTTCGAAGCAGAGAGGTATATTGGTAAGCGAACTGTGTGGGACTCTGTGATACAATGTCGACTCTGTAATATTCTTTACATTTAAAACTTTTTTTAAATGATTTCCTTTTCTGTCCAAGCGCCGACAGTTTTAACTGAGGAAGAAGATAATAATCCCATCATGCAACATGAAGTTTTTGGCCCAGTTCTTCCTGTCCTAACTGTAAACAATATTGACGAGGCCATCACCTTCATTAATAAGCAGGAGAAACCCCTCTGTGTGTATGCATATTCCAACAATCACAAGGTACCAGCCAGAGTTAAGACACTTAGTATTGACTGCCTGAGCCTGGTGCATTTATTCACATTATGGCTTTCCTGACAATGCAGGTCATCTCAAGGCTAATAAGTGAGACTTCCAGTGGAAGCTTCTGCTCCAATGACAGCGTCCTGCAGAGTCTGATGGTGGCTCTGCCTTTTGGTGGAGTTGGTAAGTGGTTAGCCAAAAGGTGCCAAATGTATCAAACAGTGTCTGAATAAATATATAACTCTTACAACATTTTGACAGGTGCAAGTGGAACAGGTGCCTACCATGGCCGCCACAGCTTTGAGACCTTCTCTCACAGGAAATCATGCCTGCTGAGAGGCACAGGCTTCGAATGTGTTACAAATCTGCGTTATCCTCCCTACGAGGACCGCAATCTGTCTCTGATGACATGGGCCAGCACCTTGTCCCAGAAGAGCCAGGGCTGGTGCCAGATCCTGTGACTGTGTTGGGGGTGATGACAGAGCCATGATGGAGGACAGCCGGATTGCTAATGTGCTAATGTATCGTTAGTGTGTGTTTAAAACATAACGTAAAATAAAACATATGACTAGGCTTAGCCACATCTTAAGAGAGGAATAGCAATCTCCTTGATAGTTCAGTTTCTTGGTGGTTGTGAACTGTCAATTGTTGCTGTCCATTACTTAAAGTTCTCCGTTGCTTTGCATTGACTGTACAGAAGTTTCCCTGAATGTAAATGTTTGAAGCTTTACCTGCACTACAAAGTTGTATTACCAAAAAGTATACTGTATGTATTGGGAGAAGATTTAGGATTCTGCCAGTTTTATTGTTGCCCCTTAGTGTCACATTATTCTGAGAAGAAATAAAATCAAGATAAAAAACAATTTCAAAACCTTACAGATTTATTTATATATATATACACATAGTGAAAATGAAACACGGTCATTACCAACAATCCCCAAACCAAGACAGACCTTTGTGATCCTATATCTTGTTATCATTTAAAATCATTGTGGTCTTTTGTAGATTGTTTCCTCATTGCCTTCCTTCATGGCGGCATATCTGGCCACGGTGAACAGGTAGTCACTCAATCTGATTGAAGATTAAAAGGACATTTATCAGATTTGTGACAGACAAAGCATGTTCTCATGCTAATTTGTATGCAACGTATTGGACTGACCTGTTCAAAAACTTGGCAACATCTGGATCTGCTTCGCCTGAGCGCACAATTGGAGCAACACTATAACCAGAACAAAGATCCGTCAGGACACACTGTCAGAAATGCAAGACTAAGAGGGTCTTTTAACATTACTTAAGATAGGAGGCATGTTGTAGCTTACCTGCGTTCTGTTCTCCGGCAAACTGTCCGAGCCAAGTGCAAAGCTGCGCTGCTCTTCCCTCCAGACTGTGACGCACAGGACACGTGTATTAACACAGCAGGAAACAACTTGGCTTACATCAGAACTCAGACTTAAAAATGGACTTACAGGTAAAATGAAGTTTGTCAGTGGAGGGAGTTCTTCTGTTAATTCATCAATCCAGATTTCCAGGTCTGCAATTGGCTGAGCTGTGAATTTTGTTCTCTCTCACAAAAGAAAATGAAAAAGAAAAATGAACCTAAGAGATCAAGCCAACAAATCACATTTTTAATGTAATAGGGGGAAAAAAAATCCATACTAATGTGAGCTTCTCTTGCAGATGACCGCGGGGTGGCAATATTGGAGCCCACGTCCTGTAAAATGCACTGGATCTACAAAAAAAAAGGACCAAAACACCATCAAGAAATCTTATCTGGTTCATGCTACATTTCTGTGAGCTATATGAAAACCACACCTTGTCCAGCTGATGTGTGAATGTGTGACCCTTGTCAAGGCAAAATTCTCGAGCCAACCTGAAATGCAAAATTAAAAACACTGAGTGGGTTTGTAACCGACGAAATTAAGAAAACAAAAGTGTTCAAGTGATTGTGTGATAATTTAAAAATGATACAAATATTACCCTATAGCTGATGACAGCTCATCTGTATTTCCTAAGGCTTCAAAAATATGATCTTCCTTTGGCCTCCTTTCTCCTGTGAATGTGCTTGAGAAACCTTTGAATGGTAAAGAGGGAATGAAGCACATTTTGTAAGGACTCCTGACTTTTAAAAAAAATATATATATAAAAACATAATGTTAAGCTTTCTTAGACGACCTTTGTCTCCGGTTTTGGTGTATATTTTGGGTCCCTTTTCTGCTTCAGTGGCAAAACTGTTGACAAGTCGGACAGGATTGACATTGGAGAAGAAATTAAGAAAAACAAAAATTTGATATAAAGTCAATGTTTGTCTCGTTCAGAATCAAACAACACTTATTCTACATCATAGTATGTTCACTACAATACGAACACTGGCTTTACAGAGTTCATGTTTTACAGATACAACTTCCATTTTGCTTATATATGACCAAAGTTACATGAATGACACGATCAGCTCCTTGTTGGTGTTCTTTCACACACAGCATGCATGTTAAACTACCTTCTGTCTGAACACGATGTTATCCATGTCCTATGCTGGCTTACGAGCCTGCAGACCCTAACAACGCAGCGGAGGTGCACAGGTTTTATCATCATTGAAGCCATGTTATGCTAAAAAGCTACCGGGTAACTCTTGGAAACAGCTGATAACCTTTTTTTTTTTTTTGTCCGTTCGTGATTTCCGTAGATAATGGGCGTTTTCGTTTCATGGCACGATTGGTCAACACACCGTGTGGTTGGCGAATACGGGATGCTGATTGGGTAAAACAATATCGGTTCAACTCGTTTTGGGTCCTGATTGGATAGAGTCAGACCGACACCATGTTCGTCCCTCCTCCTCTGTGACAACTATGTTTTTTAACATGATTTCTGAAGCAGAGCCACTAAGTGTCTATCCACAGAGCATTTCAAGAGCTTTTCTTGAAGAAAATGCTTTTTAAACTTCTTGTTTTTGTCGACTTTTCATGAAGACTGCACATTGGTCCATGTTTCCTTCTGCTTTTGTCTGCTTTGGAGGATTAGCAGCTCGTAAAGTTGGCTAAGCTAGTTATTATTAGTGTGTGACTTGTCAGTGACAAGTTGACTTAGAGGGGTTTTCCGAGCAGACTAGTTCTGGACATATTTAGTTCTGAAAACTGTTACAGTAATGCAAGTCACAGACTTCTACGTGTCTGCTCCAGGGAAGGCGATCCTGCACGGAGAGCATGCAGTTGTTCACGGAAAGGTAGTAACCCCAATTTACACTTAACAATGAAGGCAAAGTTATCATCAGTCAGTAAATCACTCTGCAAAAATACCATAACATATTTCAAACTTTGCATGTTTAGACAGTTTTCCATCTTACATTTACATTTATTTAGTGTAATTGCTGTACTAATAATAACCAGGGACGATGGACTTGCACATATGGATAAAAAAAAAAAAAAGTTTATTTAATTGGAAATGACATAATACATGTCCAAAACATCAGATTCCTTGTTTGTAGGAATGAGGCAATGACTCTTAAGATGTGCTAAACAAGTGTTACAAATGTCCCACTGTATTTAAAAAAAGGACCCTGTACTCTGTGCTCCATTACAGGTGGCTCTTGCTGTCAGTTTGAACCTGAGAACATATTTAAGGTTAAAGGCCACAACCACGGACAAAGTGTGTATTAACCTTCCAAATATCGACACATTCCTCTGCTGGGACCTGTCCGAACTGTCGCAGCTCATTCCTTATTCTTTTGGTAAGCCATGATACAAAACTGGGGACCATAAACACTTCCATTTGGTCAGATAGTTTATGTTTCGTCGTTACCCTGCATCCAATTGTCCAGTGCTTGCAGGGAATCACTGTTTTTAAGGATTTTTTTTGTAAATTCTGTCAAACATATTTATGAATATTGATTAACATTGAATTAGGTACTTTTATCATCATGTTGCACTCAGGGTCATTTGTAAGAAGTTTAAAGAGTTTAGCAGCCTAGAATAAAAACCTTTGTAGGTTATAATGCAGTGATAAACTGTCTGCATGATGTCTGTGGACTTTTACGTGGTATTCGCCTTTGGAAACAAAAACATTAACAGGAAAAAAAATTATTTACATTAATGTCACAATGTGAAGATTTAACATTTAGCATTGTATAAAATATAATATCATAGATTTTATTATTATTATTATTATTTTTGTTGTATTTTAAATACCTACAGGTAAAACTAAGTGTGTTTAGTTTACTCATGCTGATGGTTAATAATACTTATGTCCACAGATAAGAGGGAGGAGGTGAAACTTCTGGATGCTGAACTTGTGGGCAGACTGCAGGATTTTCTTGGTGTAACAAATGGAAACTTGGATACTCGCAACATGGCCACATTATCTTTCCTCTACATCTACATCTCATTATTTCGATCAAGGTGAGGTGGTACTTCTATTCTGTTTATTAGATTTCATTTAATCATTGCTGCTTTGTGACTCATATGGCCACACAATATGGAAGCTAGAGAACAGGACGCACTCATGTCTTCTGGTTGTAGAGCGGCCGTGCGAGTAATTGTTTTACATTTAAAAGTTCCGCTAAAAAAGTAACAGTTAGAAGCTGCAGACGTACACGTTCTGGTTAGCTCTATTTACAGGCAAATGAAGTCTCACTATCAACAGTGGCAGGCATCATGTGTTGCTGCTTCTCCTCATTATTTTTATTTGCTACTGTTGAGAGTGTGTGTGTGTGTGTGTGAGTGTGAGAGAGAGAGAGTGAGAGAGTGAGAGAGAGAGTGAGAGAGTGAGAGAGAGAGAGAGAGAGGAAAAAAAAAGTACAATATTACAACTTGGAGAATTCTCTGCTTTGTACTGGGCAGTATGTGTGATTTGTGGGGATAAGTGGGAGGGGGGGGTCCTCACCTGATCTGAGACTAACTGTTCATGTCAGAAAAAAATAGATGTTTTATTTGTTTAATTTTTGATGTGAAAATAAGTATATAGACTTTCAAAGAATGCAGCCTCCTCTATGTCTGTAATCTATAGCCTGTCAAACCTGAACATGTGAGTTTGCAGGTGACAGCCTAGGTCAAATTAAATAGAAATTGGCTGATCAATGTTTTTTTTGTCATGTGTATGTAAGGGATGAACTAGTTGAGGATAGGCTTCTTAACAAGAAATAAGTCGAGACATTTAAAAAAAAAATAATAATAAAAATAAAAATGCTCATCAGAATGTTCCAGAACCCAAAAGGGACGTCTTCAGACAAAAGGCAAACCTTTTGTGAAAGAAGCTGACTTCAGCAAATACTTGAACTTTTCTTTAAGAAGGACTGAAATGATTATTTGCTTACCAGTTTTCTGTGGATTGACAAATTCATTTATTGGCTTTTCTTTACTGCTGTAAAAGATTTAACCCAATTGAGATAGACATGTGCAGGGAGTTGAGGGCCATTTTTCTGCATAATAATCCCTTCATGTGGAAATGAAGATAGCTAAGAGAGGTGGACTGAGAGGCAGGAAGTCCGCTGTTGTGACTCCAGCAGCTGTGAACAGGGAAGACGCTCAGGAACATTAGAGCTGCAGGTTGCTGGCGGGGTTTAATCGACGCTGACACAGTGCAGCCATGTCTGAGCGAGGTGATGGGTTCTGACAGGATGACCACTAATGAGAGTCTGGCAGGGGGCTAAGGTGCAGCCTTTAACAAGTCTGGATGTGTTTTTCCCTCGAGAGAAGAGCCGGACAATTAGTTTAGAGTATTCCCCTGTCTGCCCAGCAGCAGCTTCCCTGACAGACACTGACAGTGATGTCAAGCTAGTTAATGTTGCTGAGAGAAGTGTATGGATTACAATTTATTACACAGCCAGTAAAGTTTTACTGTTACTGTATCGCTTAATGTGATTGTAAATAAAGAGAATTACACATTTCTTATGAAATACTTTGTTTGTTGTAAAACATGTTTTTGGGTTGTTTTTTTTTTTTTTGTAAAAGTAAATACTTTTAGTGTTATAATCATATTTGCAGTAATCTGTAACCAACACTGCTAAGTCATAGAGACAGTATTTCAGTGTTTATATACAAACAGAAGTTCAGTTTGTACTTTTATTTTTCCCTCAGCGAGTTGCCCAGCCTGACGCTGACGGTGTGGTCAGAGCTGCCCACTGGAGCAGGACTCGGCTCGAGTGCTGCATACTCGGTGTGTTTAGCTGCAGCTCTGCTCTGTGCCAGTGGAGCCATCCCCTCCCCTCTTAAAGAGTGGGATCACACCGCCAGGTAAAGACAGTATGTTCCATTTTCTTATATATTGGTAAGTTCGTTAAGAGTTTCGTATGCTGTTTGTTCCGATTAATTACAACAATGTTCTCTGAACCAGGACTGATTTGACTTTTTGCACATCCCGTACTGTGTATGTCTTAAAAATGGTATTTGTTTAGAAGTTTATGGAGAACGACTGATATCAGATTATACTTTCTTACCAAACTTCTTCACATTGTGTAAACACTTGTTACAAACATACATGTTGATACGGTATAATGCTACCTAAAACAGAAGCCTCTGAATAAGAAATCATCTTTGAGAAGACTTTGATGTTATAATTTTCATCAATCTTTGTTTAATTTGCCTTTTAGTAAAGCTAGGGTTCTTTTCCAAGGGTGTTAAATATCTATGTCTCACAAAGCCACACAACCAGCTCCCAGAGGTGAGGATAAAAAGAATGAAAAAATCAGAAGTTTTCACTGTTTTTGTTTCTTTAATTAAACACTACACTTTCCCATTTCAACCCCTTAACTCTGCAATCATTTGAAACATTCTTATGGAGTTGGTCACTTAAACACATTTAAAGTTTATTTTTGTTCTGATTTCAACAAATGCATCTTCACAACTGATTAGCCTTCTACTCAGAACTAAATAAAATGTTTAAGTAAGTAAGTAAAGTTTATTTATATAGCACTTTTCACAGACATGTGCCACAAAGTGCTTTAAACGAGTCCTGACAACACTAGAATTTAAAGTCATAAGTAATATTTAAAGCTCAACACTGTTTTTATGCATTAAGTATAAAAAGTAATTTATACTTACCGAAATAAAACATTTTAAAATGTTACAGAAATTTGAGTCAAAACTAAAAATTTCAACACAATGTCAGTGATGTAAGATAATGCATAATAATTTTTCTGTTCTTGGAAATAAAAACACTTTTTTTTTCAGATGTATTGTCAGTAGAATAATGTTGTACTGCATCATGCAGGAAATCCTGTGCTGATCTGTATAACCATTTATAAACAGTCTATCCCTCCCAGTCACTCTTTTTGATAGCAGATGAAGAGGTAGTTGGAGGTTTGGTCCGACAAAGTCAATTAAATAGTTTTTCAATAAATGCAGGTGGTGTCAGGAGGACCTGGAGCTGATCAACAGCTGGGCTTTCCAAGGGGAGATGATCATCCATGGAAACCCATCAGGAGTGGACAACGCTGTAGGAACATGGGGTGAGGCCTGAAATGATCTGAAGCACATTACACCTGGTGTTTTCCCTCCTGTGGACAGAGAGAACCCTTTAATAGAATAACAGGAGTATTTTTTTAATGCTTATTATTTCATGATCATCTTAATGATGGAGATTTCCATGTTCGTAGGTGGCATGCTGAGATTCTTGGCTGGGAAGATTATACCACTGAGCAGGTATTGACACTGATAAACATTTTTT